CCGGCATAGAAAAGTGATTTATATTCTTGATATAGAATGCTCACTTCTGTTGTAGTCGCCAAGTGACATTTCCGGCGGTGCTGCCATATTGGTGTAGTCATTGTACTAACTTTTGGCGGGCCATTTGAATCTCGGTTTCAAATGGCTGGTTTGAGATTTCAATTATTTCAAAATAAGGCAGTGCTTCAAAACTTCATAAACTAAAATTTTATTTTCATATAAGTATTTATGTAAGAATCACTTAATCAATAAAATAGTCTATAATCTAGATGATCTGGCGTATCTAACTCATGAGCTAACTGAAACTTTCGCTGGTCTGTCGCTGCAATTCCCTAATGTCCGATTTATTTTTTGCCACCTGGTCACACCTGGAGGCAGCAACTCCTAAATCGGCTGCTTGTGATGCACTTATCACTTCTTTCACAAACTTACAATTCAAAACAACAAACTCAACGACGGCACTCAACGCACTCAACAAACTAATTCAGATGACAAGATGACATATGCATTATTTTCTGTGCCATTATGACGTTAAATGGACCCCTGCGTTTTTATGAGTGGTTTTTATATCCACTATTCTATGTTGTTCATTGTCATTTTCTATTCACTAAACAAAGATAGCTAACTCATCGGTGAAGTAACAGATTATAATAAAAACAAAGGGGACGTTGAGAAACGGCGATATTGGCGCACAGCAGTGTAGTCACGAACTAAAACAAAAACACTCAACCAAATAGTAGCATAAATAAAAAGAAGTTGTTCTTTGATTTAATGAACAATTCATTAAAATCGGTCCAAAGAACTGCTTCTTTGATCACATGAACTCTACGTTATTGAAGGAAGAACAATTTCTTAATTCCTAGTTTGATTCATCTTGTGTATGAACAACGAACATTGAAGTATGTGGCAAGATTTTTGTATTAATGAAACTTTCCATAGTGACAATGAACATCGTTCTTAGTTTATATGTACTTTTTCATTAGCCTGATGCACAGACGGCATAATATTTATGAAGCCCAGATATAATTCGATGAAACCCTTTCATTGTATTTATGAATCAAAATCTTGAATACTAAGAATTTCATTCATTGTATTTATTAATGCCGTTTTCAATAATATGTACCCTATTCTTTATTTTTATTGAATTATGCCTTAAATATACTTATGATTTTAAATGGGGTATACAGGGTCATTTTTTATATTTGCGTGACCCCTGTACTGGTGAATATGAGCAATAGGAAAAAAGCTTCTAATGCAAAAGTTGTATGATTTCTTCGTATCATCTTCTAGAATTGTCAAACAAACCAATGGGCATCCCAAAATCTGAAAATTCAAAAATCTAAGTAGGTACTTATGTATTTTTATTTCAAATGACACTAACTGTATATTGTACTATCTTTGAAATCCTCCTTAAATCCTGTTTCCATAAATATATATTACTATGTCTATGTTTGTTCCAGCTGTTTTTGAACTATCAACATCCAAAGTTTCTAAAACAAGCCACGTCAGAAAATTAGATTTGATATCTTGTCTTGGCTGGTTTCCTTGCCTCAGCTATGAAACACTAGCTACGGCATTGAATCTTGTGCTTTTCTACCTAGTGAAACAAAACCATTTAACAAAAATATATCGATGAAAAAAATTACAACTTGATTTGAAATTGGGTACCTATACTTACTTTTAGAGACTTCAGTATGCCTTAGAAATTCTGAGGAGCTCTTGACGCTCATGTCTTTCACGTTCTCCCCGGATGACATTAAAATCTGTAGGTCATTTCTTTCGCATTCCCATTTTGAGCATCAAAGTCCTACCTACATAATAGGTATACATATTATGGAGGTAATAGAGGTATACAACTTACCTTTTAGAAAAAACCGGCGACAGGTATAACCGACTTTCTATTTAACACCTCGAACAACACAAGACCGAAAAAACTGACTAGGACTAAATACGTAGCAATGCATCCAGAAAATAGAAATTTAATTATTCTTATTTCAACATATTTTTCTATGTCGTTGCCCGACTGCAGACCTTTGCGCATGTGCTTAGGAACTGTGTACATTAATGCCATGAACTGTTCATTGTATTTATGATTTATCTTGATCTAATGGTTACAGCTTTGCTTCTAGGAATATTTGCTTGTTTTAAATGAACCGTACATTGTACCTATCAATGAATTTCTTTCTTGAAAGGATAAGTTTCTAGTAAGGCTATATGAACCATATTCATATTATTTATATTAATATTCATTTATATTATGAACATTCCGTGGAAGCTCCGTCAAAGAAATTTTCTTTAATATCAGGGTTTAATTTCATAATATCAATGAACTTAGTTCATGTAACCGATGCACTATTGAACATAGATTCATGTAGATAACTATTCATAACTTACTGAAGCATCATTCTTTATTCCAATGATAGCTGTTCATGAAATCATGATACTTACAGTTTTCTGTACTTAGGATTAATGAAAATTTCACTGAATCAATGAAAATGTAATTGATGAAAGCAGTTCATTGATATTATGATGAGGATTTTTTTGAGTGAAGTGGAGAGGATGAATCCAGTGAATATTCTATTTAAGAATTTATAAATCACTTTTCTATGCCGACCGGAATAAATTAACGTTGACACAAACGTTGACAACTTTCTTGACAAAAACAACAAGCACGTCAAATCCCGTTGTGTTTTGCCACAATGGCATGTAATATTGACAGTTGAGTTGAAGAGGGCGCTTCTGTACTTGGATCTCTTTAAATTTTAGCGCGTAAAAATTCGATTGTAATTCTAACCTCAAAACTAAAGTTTGATGTGTGGTTTCAAGACAAGCTGACGCTGACACTTTTAAAAATGTTCTCTAAGGGCCACTGAACGCTTTAGAAGATATTTTAACTTATCCATTGTCCATTGTTCATATTTAGTCATCTTTCTTTCTACTCAATTTAATCAGTTTTAAACTATTGACATTTACCGCCAAAATTTAAAACACTCCAAGTCAACTCGCGCCCTCTACAAAATTTTGAGGAACTTTACTGGATATTTGCTGCCATTAGCTCTATCCTTCTTACACTGCGTTGGAGTCAATAAATTGCCACCAAGGGCCGGTCCATAGTAAAACGTAATATGATGTCATTGGATGCCAAGCATATGCACACATTCCGAGCCAAAATAGAAATGAATTGGATCCGAATCCAAGTAGGTATCTTTGTTGGTTATACAGTTTGGAGTCGAAGGCACAGGCTTTATAAGATCCACAAAAAAACTTAGTATTTATATTCGGAGATGTGCAATTTGTTGAACAAAAAAAAAGGTAGTATACTTTTGGAAAAGAAAAACACAAAAAAGGAGCAACATGATTTTTTCTTCTTTGATGAAGTTGAACAAGAGCCAGTTGAAGTAGAAAATGGTGTGGAAGGTATAATTATTCAGAAGAAGAGAACGATTTAAAAGAAATTCCACTAGAAGATGATGTAGATTCAGATTACCAAATAAAAGTAGAAGTTATTAATTTAGATCCAGTTGTAAGATCACAGAGAGAGAGAGAGAGAAAGGTTCCTAAAACGCTAAAGGAATATGTAACATACACAGCAGTTATTAACACAGAAAAAAAGATCCTATTGATGTTGATGAAGCTCGAAATTGGTCAGATAAAGAACGATGGAAAAAGGCTATGCGAGATGAGTGAGATGCACAAATTGAACGGGAATTAGTCGATCTTCCACCAGACAAAAAAAACTCTCAAAGGTAAAGGGGTGTTTAGAACCAAAATGGAAGAAAATCAAGTTATAGGCTCGATAAGTAATTGAAGGTTGTGCTCAGAATAAAGGCATCGATTACGAGCGAAACATACTTACCAGTAATTCGATATACTTCAAAACGATTTCCATTAGCACTAGCTGCCGAAAAAGATTTAGATATAGACCAGTTGGATGCAATCACAGCTTTTTTACAAGGAGAGTTGACTGAAGAAATATACATGACACCTCCAGAATATTTTGATAAAACTGACAAATTTTGCAAATGAAAAAAGTCTATCTATATAGTCTGGCAAGTGGTAACTTGGTAGAGAAGAAAGGGGGAAGAAAAGTGGGGCGTGACCTAAAAATATTCACTGACACCTCAACTGACACCGCCTGATGACAGCCATGTCTTTGAGTTCAGTGGCACCGAAAACACTAAGAAAATAAACCAATAAAATTATTAGAAAAAAAAAACTCTAGTTTCGCCGATAACCACGCCACTGCTTGCTGTCCTTCAGACTCTAACCAATAGAATCATGCTTCTGAATAATCACGCCTCTCCACATCCATCGTTTCGCAATGTTGCCGGATTTTTTTCTATTTAAAAATATTATACCTGCCCATATAGAGCAAAAAAAAAAATGTCACCAACTTGTTTATTATTGTTTCCGTCAAGTTTGGCAAAGCAGCAAATTCTTTTGGAGTTCGCCGTTTGGCTAGCCAGACAATAGATTAAAGCAGGCAAGTAGAGTGTGGAATCAAAAGTTAGACAAATTTATGAAAAATCTGTATTGGTTTAAAACAAAGTCAGTCAGACTCTTAAAATTGATTAAAATGTAAAACTAATAGTTGGAATTTATGTGGATGATATTATTCTTTTGTCAAATGACCAAAAGGCAAAAGAAGAACTGAAAAATCAACCACGCAGAAACTCCAAAATGAAGAATATTTTATTTATAAGTTAAACATATACTGGGCATGCAGATAACAAGGGACTGAAAACAAAGAAAAATATGAATTGATCAAAGAGCTTATCTTTAGGTATTAATAAAATACTCAGGAGGTTTAATATCGAAAATGCAAACCTGGTAGACACACCATTGGTAGCAGGAGAAAAGCTTACTAAAGATTGGTTTTTTTTTCTCTTCACATCACTTTTTTGTCCGAAAATACTTCGTATACCAAAATTGCTGCTTGAGGTTGCGGCTCTCAGGTACTATTAGAATTAGAATACATTTGAAAAGAAAAAAGTTATTACCTGTGATCTGCTCAACATATGTTTCCTTACGCTGGCTCTCCCATCTGATTGGTCAATAGGGTTTTTTTTATTATCGGCTTCAGTCGTTGTAGCAGAAGATGGTAGAATTCCTACACCCGTGGCGGTTCTTGTACAATCCGGCTCAGATTTGAAATCTTTCAAGGCTGTGTCGGTTGTTGATACGGTCGACTGACGCGTTTCTAGGTCGTCCAAGTGGTTTAGGCTTCTGGATCGGACCTGGAAATGAAACGAATGCTTGATTTAGAAATTGTGAATTTTTTTACCGTGTTACTTATGAATATTTTGGAACATTTTATGTTGCGTGAATGTTGAAGGATGACAATAAACCAAAACTAGAGCCAAGTACAAAAGTATTACACTGTATTTAATTGTTTGACACTTCAAATAGGTAGCCTATATTCAATTTGGATACAAAATAAAGATTACATAGCGGACATGGGCACTATTACTTAAGACTGATACTGTAAACAGTATTATTACTGACTCTCTAATCACTAGCCAACCGACGACTTGCAAGCTACCCCCTTCATTTTCCAAACATGCCTGTGCAAAACCACATAATGGAAGATAAATAACTTGATAATTAGTGGACTGTATAATTAGGTGGACTGGATGATCGACTGGATAGGGAACTAAAACACACGCGCTTTTCACTGACACTATATTTACAACAATTTACACAATATTTACACTATTTACAATTACTACTACAAGATGACAAGAAGCCAGAGCTTGCTTAGATGCCCAACAGGGCAGAGCTAGATTATAAAATTTATTAAAATGTGAAAAGGTTTCTGGATGCTTGTTAACGTGGACAAGCTCCAAGCTACACTGCTGCAATTACAAAAAATGGCGCGCAATATATTGACAGACATGACAAAATAGACATGACGACAACGCTGCAGTGTTGCAAACTTTATATGTATAAAAATATTTTGCCATCAAAAAGAGATAGCATGATTGTTGGAACATGTTTCCAACATGCTGGGGGGCCTAGAGTTTCACATGAAACCAAGGTAAAATTTTCCAGCAAAAAAAATAAAAAAATTAAAGAGAAAGTAAGCAACCCTTTTTTTTAAAAAAAGGTATGATTTCAATGATGATCCAGTAAACAAAAACTTAACTAACAATTAAAGCTAAAAACATTTCTGGAACACATAGTATGACATTATGTATGTATATACGAGTATAGCTAATTGAATATAAATATAAATCTAAATGTTTTACAAATATATGTACAGAATTTTGTGAATAATTTTCAAAAATATTATTAACAATTATTGTCATCAATCGGTAACACTGCAATCTTGGTAACCGATCTGAGATAAATACCTTTTTTGGTTTTCACTTCGACAACCCTTACTTTGCCGTCCTTTCCAGGTATTGCTTTAACTATTCTTGCCATTGGCCACTTATAAGAAGGTACATTATCCTCTTTTAAAATGACTAACAAGCCCTCCCTAAGGTTAGGCATCTCATCACGCCATTTTGGCCTATTTTGGAGTTGCGTTAGATAGTCGTGATACCACTTTTTCCAAAAATGCTGCTGCATCTGGACACACAATTTCCAAAACTTAAGTCGACCTTGGGGAATTTCCGTCAAATCAGGGTCAGGAAAGCTTGTGATAGGCGCACCTATCAAAAAATGACCAGGGGTCAAATAGTCCAAATCTGAAGGATCTTGTGACAAGGCTACAAGTGGTCGGGAATTTAAAATTCCTTCTACTTGGACAATAAGAGTATTAAATTGTTCATAGGTAAGCTCATTGCTACCTATGACTCGCTTGATGTGAAATTTTGCCGATTTTACTCCAGCTTCCCATAAACCACCAAAAACTGGAGAATAGCTCGGTATAAAATTAAATGTAATTTTTTCCTGAAGGGAATAATTTTCAATTTTTTCTGTTTCGTTATAAAACTCTTTGATTTTATTCTCGGCTCCTTTAAACGTGGAACCATTGTCGCAGAAAATATTTGCGGGCTTCCCCCTCCGCGAAATAAAACGCTTCAGAGCAGCTAGAAAATTTTCGGTTGTCAGGTCTGAAAGCAGTTCCATATGAATTGCTTTGACTGAAAAGCACACAAAAAGTGCTATGTATGCCTTGGAACTTACGGATTTTCTAATTCGAGATTGCTTAACGAGGAAGGGACCGCAAAAATCTACCCCGACATTTTGAAACACTCTGGCTGAACAGACTCTTTTTTCCGGCAAGGAACCCATTAATTGAGTGGAACATTTTGCTTTGAATTTAAAGCAAATCACACATTTGTGTAGCTCTTTTTTAATTAATCTTATTCCATTTATGAGCCAATAATTGAGGTTTAGGGAACCTAAAACTTGTCTTGGTCCAGCGTGCAACAAAGTTGAATGTTCTTGTATTATAATTAATTTGGTGATGTGACTTTCCTTGGGCAAGATCACAGGCAGGATGTTTCTGATTATATGGAATGTTTGAATTATGTAACCTTCCACCCACTCGCAATAATCCATTGCCATCTAGGAACGGCGACAAAGAGTTTAATGAGGATTTTAAAGGGGTATTGGAAAGTAAAGATTTAATGTCATTAGAAAAGTAAAAGTCTTGCTCACATTTTATGATTACTCTAAGACTGTGTTCCAGTTCTGAAAGCTTCAAACTTCCCTCAAGTTTTTCACCAGAATTTTTTCCAGAATTGTGAACAAATCTAAGTATATAGGCAAAAACTCTTTGAAGTCTTCTAAGGGATGAAAAATCTTCAAAAAATGAATTTGGCTTTGTTTTTATGACTTGTGTTAAAATTTTTTCTTCTGGCAAGGAAGCAGGAATTTCTATAGGAATCTCATTATGGCAAAAATTAATATCAGAAAGAACGTTTGGACCGTGGAACCACAGATTATTTGACTCAATTTCCTGAGGCTCGAGACCCCTGGATAGACAATCGGCAGGATTTTCTTTCGTGTTAATATATAACCATTTAAAAGTTGAAGTTAAGTTTTGAATTTTTATAATTCTGTTTGCCACATAAGAGTTTAATTTCAGAGGATCTGATTTTAACCAAGCAAGTACAATGGTCGAATCAGAATAAATAAATACTTTATCAATTTTTGATTGCAATAAGATAGACACCTTTTTTGCCAGATTTGCTAAAAGCAAAGCTCCATTAAGTTCCAATCTAGGAATGGTAAGTTTTTTATTTATAGGTACTATTCTAGACTTTGAACAAACTAAATTTACATGTACTCTGTCAGGAAAAAATGTTCTTACATAAATGACTGCTCCATATGCTATCATGGACGAATCGCAAAACCCTACAAGCTCAATGCTATTTGCGTTTGTGAAATATAAATTCCGAGGAATCTCCAAAGTTTGCATGTTAATAAAACCCTTTATAAAACTTTTCCAAATGTCCAACAAATCATCGGGCAATACTTCATCCCAACTAAGTTTGCATGTCCAAATTTTTTGCATGATTACTTTGGCTGCCACCAAAATCGGGCCTGCCAACCCCAAAGGGTCATAAAATTTGGAGATCAAACTGAGTACTTGTCTCTTTGTTAAATATTCATTGATGTCCATAACTTTAGGAGTTGACAATTTAAAATGATCAGAAATGGTATCATAAGTTAGGCCTAGTGTTTTTACGGTAAAATTATTCTTACTCATATCAACCTCATCGAAATTTTGTTTATCTTTAGGGATGCCACTCAAAATGTTTGGTTCATTGGTACACCATTTATGCAGAAAAAATGATCGTGAACCCAATAAAGAAATTAATTCGTCTCTAAGCTTTATGGTCTCTTCAATTGTGTCAGAACCCGATAAGATATCATCTACGTATGTATTATTTAAAAGAGCTTTTGCTGCGAGAGGGAATTTTTTACCTTCTGAGTGAGCCAGCTCAGCCAAACACCTCGTTGCTAAAAAAGACGAGCTTTTCAAGCCATAGGTGACTGTCTGTAATTGAATATACTGTAAGGAACCGAGATGATCTCTCCACAGAATGTTTTGCAATGGCCGGTGTTCCGGGTGAATTAAAACCATGCGGTACATTTGTTTTATGTCAGTTAAAATTACGAATTTATAAGTTCTGAAGCAAACAAGAATATCGAATAAGTCTTTCTGGACTACTGCCCCATTGTACAAGAAGTCATTTATACATTTCTTTTGTTTCGATTTCATGCTGCCATCAAAGACAACTCTGAGTTTGGTGGTTTTTTTGTCTTCCCTTATAACGGGGTGATGCGCCATGAAATAAATCGAACCATTAGTTAACTCATCTACAGGGTAATTGACAATTTTGGCATGATTTAAATTCAAATAATCATCCATGAAACTCTTATATTGTGAGAAAAGATCAGGATTAACTCTAAATCTTTTTTCCAGGTTTTCAAAGCGCTTTATAGCCACTGAAAATGAATCCCCCAAATTTATGTCAGTTTGTTTTAGTGGCAATTTCACCTGATATTGGTTATTTATTATTTCAAGAGAATTTTGAGAACAAGACTCGCAAGCTTCTTGCTCGCTGGGATATTCTGGAAATATCTCAGGGACTTTCTCAGTTTCCCAAAATTGAGACATGGTTTTTTCAAGATCTGAATAGGTCGCGTGAAACGCAAAAAAATTGCATGTGACATTTGCACAAGCAGAAATTGCACCGCTTACAATATAACCGAATAGGGTGTTTTGAAAATATATATTGTTGCATTTAAGCTTCTCCGAGAGAAAAATTTCAAACGCCACATTTGCACCCAATAAAAAATCAATCGGTCCCGAGCGGTAAAAACTGTCATCAGACAAATGAATATTCCGAGGCGTTTCAAACTCTGAAATATCAAAACTTACATTAGGCAAATTGCTTGTAATAGTGTCAACAAGCGCACACTTTATGTTTTTTGAATAATCAAAAACCAAAGATTCAATATTTAAATTTATTGATTTATTAATTTTAGTTTTAGTCTCCGATATGCCAGTGATATTCAAAGAACTATTAAAGGCTTTTAATCCTAGCTTTTCAACTAAACTGTTTGTTACTAAACAAATCTGAGAGCCGGTGTCAACCAGACCTCGGGCGTAAATATATTTGCCTTTATTAGATTTAATTTTTACTTTTAAGGTAGGTAAAAGTACAGATTCTTGCTGTGAGGCATTGGAATACATGACTCTGCGTTCAGTAGGAAAATTATTATTTTCACATTGCTTGTCCAAATGCAGCAGGGTATTGTGTTCCTTTTGACA